CCAAATATTTCATTGTATCTGATTTATCACTTTCACGGGTTTATTACGAATCAACTTAACGGCCTGCTCCCAGTTGGCTTGTTAGCTCAATTGGTAAGAGCGCTGCACTAGTATCGCAGAGGTCAGTGGTTCGAATCCCGTACAGGCCTGATTTTTTTCAGGTCTGATTTTCGCTATTGCTTAAATAGCGCTATCTACTGCGAGGATCGTGCATCATACGTATCTAATACCGCAGTTCAAAATATATGAACTTCATATATTTCATTGTATCTGATTTATCACTTTCACGGGTTTATTACGAATCAACTTAACGGCCTGCTCCCAGTTGGCTTGTTAGCTCAATTGGTAAGAGCGCTGCACTAGTATCGCAGAGGTCAGTGGTTCGAATCCCGTACAGGCCTGATTTTTTTCAGGTCTGATTTTCGCTATTGCTTAAATAGCGCTATCTACTGCGAGGATCGTGCATCATACGTATCTAATACCGCAGTTCAAAATATATGAACTTCATATATTTCATTGTATCTGATTTATCACTTTCACGGGTTTATTACGAATCAACTTAACGGCCTGCTCCCAGTTGGCTTGTTAGCTCAATTGGTAAGAGCGCTGCACTAGTATCGCAGAGGTCAGTGGTTCGAATCCCGTACAGGCCTGATTTTTTTCAGGTCTGATTTTCGCTATTGCTTAAATAGCGTTATCTATTGCGAGGATTGTGCATCATACGTAACTAATATATTATGTTATAGAGTTCATATTTTTATTAGAAAATCTCATCATTTAAATGTTGGGCCAAGTGCATCTGAAAAAAGACACAAAACACTCAAGCTTGGCAAAGGGAATGTTTTTAGAAATTCCTATTTATTTTTCCAGGAGGATTTTCAAGCAATTACCTATGGATTTAAATTTGCAACTCAAGTGACAGAAACAAGAGCTGCAGGTTTGTGATTAATGTCCTTCTAGTTTGGAGGTCACTTGGGTCATAAAAATTACAACATCTCATAACAATCACAATATAGTCCACAAATATTATTAACAACTATTCAATTGTAATCATTTAAAAATAATACTCATTTCAATATTTTTAGGTATGCTGAAAGAGGCAGAAGATGAAGTTGGTAGAAAATTGAAGGTGCAGGAACAATTAATTTTAGCCTTGAGATATCAATCTCTTTAATCCCTTTACTCCCAAATTTGTCCTCAAACAATTCTCACCATGTTAGTTTGAAGAAGTTGTGATGGGTCAATTAAATATGATAATCCCCTTAATGATATTTTTCTGTATTCTCATTACTTATCTGTGTGATGTTGTTTTTGATATTGTAAGGAGAAATTCTGTGTTGGTCACTTGTGGAAGTTAAAGGTTTGAGTCATCATAAATCAGGGTCCAGTTGTTCGAAGGCTGAATTGCACTAACCCAGGGTTAAATTTTGACTCAGGTTTCCTTATTTCTCTATTCAAGAACCTTTCTGAGATAATTTTCCCCGTTCTTTTTAGAGCATCCTATTATCAAATTGTAGAGACAAAATAATTAAACTGAACTTTAATTTCTTAAAGCTTTCAGATCTGAATTCAAATTTTACGCTAATCCTGGGTTATCATAACCCAGCTTTGAACTCGGCAACAACAACAACAACAACAACTTTATTTTTTTCACCCCAAAATATACAAGAAAGAAAAATTTATAATAATAGTACAGACTGTAATAGGGGGGCTGGCTGTCCCAAATAACGTAAGAGTTAAAAATGCCAGGCAGCCAGTTAAAAGAAAGAGCTTTTTGAATCCCAGCCCTCTGCATAATGTACAAGTGACCCTATGGTATGTATCTTAATTCTGTTTTCTAGCCATTGAAGACCACACTGAGGGAAGAACCTAACTGTGACTTGGATGCTGTGCAGGTACTGTGCTGTGTACTTTACAAATTTGTCATAACACCAGTCTCACGCTGACTATCAGAGTGGTGGTGAAAATGATAATAAAAATGTATGTTTATAATTTTGTTTCTCAAAAGTTGTTTTTCCCTGCAGAGTCAAGTTAAGGAATATGAAGCTGTTTTAGCAAGATTAAAGTTCTATAAAGCATTTTACCTCACTTTAGTTGCTCTGGAAAAGTCAGAGGTGTGTTGAATCTAAAATGCTACCATTCAATGACTCAATTATTTTCTATTTTTTGCAATGATTGATGAAGACATTTGATCGCTATTTTCAATTGACATTTTAGCACCTTGTATTGTTTAAATGTAATTATGATAATTATAAACTGCAGTGTTTTACAGGGATTTCCAGCCCTGAGAAAAGCTGTAACTGCAGACATGTAAAATTTTGATGATTTCTTATGTGGGCTTGGTATTGCCAATCAGCTTCCAACACATCACTTGCCTCAAATTTTTGTTGTCTGTTCAGGCCTGCATGGTTGCTTGCAGATATTCAATTGAACACTCAAAGAAAAATTCTATATCTATCAACACCCAGGTATTATTCTCTATCAGAGCTTTAATGACCTAGAAGAGGGTTATAAGCTTCTGTCTCTATTTATTATTGTTTCAGGCCATTTGAAGGTGATGATTGAGTTCACTACTCACAAACACTGTTACTCTTTAATCAACAATTGTAGGATCCAGGTATCACTGCAGCTAAGCAGTCATTAAGCACTGCACTGTCTCTTATTGAACCAATCAGAAAGACTGTGGAGTTAGGAATTCAACCTGTATCAACTGACGATAACAGACAAGGTAGCCCGCCCATTGTGTTTCCTTCAGAGTATGATTGGAATTTTTTTTTCTTCCAGAATGTGTTTTGAACTAGTACAAGATTTAAATTGTGTTCATCAAACAGTGAATATTGAGATACTTTTAGGTTACTGTCAACAAAATCTGGTCTAAATTTCCAAAAATGTGTATCAGACTCGTCAGAACAACTCACGCACTTTTTTTTTTACTGGATATCTTTGTAGGTAGTATAATGGGTTTTGAACCGCTTGTCAATCAGAGACTTTTACCTCCGTCCTTTCCGAGATATACAGCCATCTTTGGTCGACACCAGGTGACAAGTTGTAAATAGTTTTGAATTAGATAGTCAGAGTACTTTTTCAATTGAGTGTCAAAGTAACTCGAGATTACCTTAGTTTTGCTTTACTTCGCACTGCGAGTGGTCCAGAAAATTCGTGCCGCTCCCTCAACCAATCAGATGCAAATCTGAAATCAATCACGACTTGGTCGCGCACGTTTTCCCGCGCTTCGAGTTCTCATTGGCTCTTAAAGGTATTTTTCTTTCTTCTGATTTGTCGTTGTGATTACTTTGGTTTGGGTTTTACCACGCTTTATTTACAAAACTCCAAGATAAAATTTTTTTTCTCTGCATGTTGTCGTTAACCTAGAGAAACAAGAGCATACAATTTGTAGTTCGAATTGGTAGATTCGAGAATAGGATTTCGGTTAGAGTTCGGCATGACGTACTGTTATTTTGCGATTTACTCGCCTTTCCACTCTTGCAAGGTCGTTACTTTCAGGTAATTGAAATGTATAGTTTGTATATCCCATAAACATTTATTTTGAAATCGTGACAAGTGCGCAAAAGTGAAAAAAAAAAAAAAAGGATGTAATTACCAGCTTCTCAGAAGTAAAGACATTTATTGGTAACTACCATGGTATTCACAGATTAAAGAAGCTTAATGTAAAATCTGTCATCACATTAACTGTTAAGCTTAAGATTACATATGTGACAAAAAGGGTGTGAATTGTCACCTTTTTTTTAACAAACATGTTCCAGGTTGCTGTTCAGTAATAAATCGCAGATGATATCAAAGTGTGGTACGATAAGAAAAAAGTCACAACACGCAGCTGAGTGTTTCACTGATGTTGTTAACACATTTTGACGCCATTTGTTATCTATTACAGAAAATGTTATACCTATTTGTTCAATACAATAAAGTGTATCGTTATCCAGATGGAGATTTGTGAAGTGAACGAAAGGAAATGAGGAAGATAACTGTTCAACAAGACTCGAACCGTCTTTTAATCCAAGTTCCCTTGAACCGGCATGCCCTACATTTCATTCATATACACACAAACATATGCAGATTTCATTTATATAAACACGAATATCGTTACAAAAGGAGCAAGGTTGTAAGTGATGACGTCATCTATACGTCTGTTCCCCAATATATCACTAGTGAGAACCGATCAAAGTGCGTGTATTCAACTTTTGTACATGAATTCTAACAGACGGTTCCTTTCTTTCAGGCTATTGATTACACCGAAGAAATGGTCAAAAGATTTCTTCATATCTGTGATGTAGTGAGCTATGCGTCGCTTCACATTGTAATTGTAGGTGGATCTTCTTATATGCTGCATGTTTGTTAGTGCATATGGCCGTCGAGCTGGGACTGCTCCTGTCAAAGCCAAGCAATTTTCTGATGCTTATCACTCAATCAATTATTTCTGGTGGGAAGTCATATTCACTCGTGTCAGGGCTGCTAATAACGGCCGGTCAACGGACAATGTCCGGTCAAAATTGGGTACTGACCGGACAAATCCTTGGTTTGCCGGACATCTTGTCCGGTCCTTTACCGACTCGTTCAAAGAAATTTTAATTTTTAACTGTTTGATAATCACAAGGGACA